CCATCCATTCTCCCTCCCAGATCTTTGACCATGATCAGCAGCTCTAGATTTGGAAGGGATTTCCCCACCCAGCCTCACAGCCCTTGGAGCACATTTTTATGGAATGCTTCTTGACTCTAGGGGCATCACTTTCGCCTTGCCTTGGTATTTGATGTTTGTTTGTTTAATTTTGTTCTGTTTGCTCTTTTAGTCTATTTCCAGTCTCTGCTGGAAGGCTCTGGAACCTTAAGGAGAAGAGGCATTTCTGCTGGAGGCCTCAAGGGAGACATGGGGCTCTGACTTTTAAGGAGTGTGACATGTGGAATGTGGAGTTTGCCCAGTGCTTGCCACTCTGCCAGGCCTTGCCTACCTCCTCTTGGGTACTCCTTGCACTGGCCTGGAGGCGGAAGCAGTCGGCTCTTGGTTACATATGTGCCCAAACTGACTCACGCCACTGAAAAGTCCAGGGATAAACGGCATAAGTCAACAGATCGAGGGGCTGAAGAACTAGTACAAGGGTGAAGGCTCTCGCTTTGCACTCGGTATGGTGTATGTACCCCTAGCACTCCCAGGGGTCACTCCTGAACTAGAAATAGCCCCTGAGCACTTCTTTTTGGCCCCAAACAAACCCAAAGATACTGGTAAACCAGAAGTTCCAGGACTTCTTTCTCGCTCTGCTCCTTTTCCTCCCCTTAGCTCTCTGTGTCTTTGTCAGCTGCAGACCTGGATTAACGCCTGGCTTCTAGCAGCCTAGCACCCCTGCTGGAGTTTCAGGGTCTCATCGAGGTATCTGTTTCTCTTTCCCTCCCCTGAGGTGCTCTGGGGTTACACCCAGCTTGGTCTTGGACGTTGTTCTCCATTAGTGACTATGAGGTACAAGGAATTCAGCCCAGGCTTTCTGCCCTTTGAGCCACCCCCTGGCTTGCAGTTAGTATGATCAGGAGGATGGTGACCTGCCGCGGTGAGGGTGTGCCCATAGTACCTCGACTGTCTGAGACTGTTCCTGGTCTCTTCTCCCACGGAACACAAAGGATCTTTCCAACACGGAGAGTGTTTTGTTTAGATGCCTTTCTCCACCCCTTCCTTTCCCTCTTGTCTCTGCAACTTTGGTGGAGGGTTTGGGGGCACATCTTGGGAGTTCTGGGGGGAATGCTCCTGGAGCACTTGGCTGGATGATCCAGTGCTTGAACCTGGTGATGCCTTGTTGCCTGGCATCAGGGCTCTCTTGTCAGTGTTTAAGAGGTCATTCGGTGGTGGGGATCAAGTCCGGGGCATTGCGCATGCTTCCCTAACCCTTGAGCTATCTTCCCTGGGTCTGAAAGCAGGCATATTCTGCCACTGGGCCCTCTTCTTGACAGGGGTATTTTGAATATTGCAACAGATTCCATTTTTCAGATGGAAACACTCTTTAAAAATCTTTACTAGGGCCGGAGAGAGAAAGAGAAGGAGCTAAGGATGAAGGCATTTGCCTTGCACGTGACCAGCTTCCATTTGAACTCTGACACTGCATGGTCCCCTGAGCACTGCTGGGATTGACAGCTCCCCCTCTCCTCCCCCAAACAAAAACAATCCAGTTATTCCTGACTCTGTACTGTGAAGTGATCCCTGATGGTGCTCAGGGGATTGTGTGAGGTGCCAGGGATCCACTCTGGGTAGTTTGTTGTTTAGGGACCATCCATCTGCCAGGTCCTTCCTGTGAGGGTCCACATAGGCCAGGCTCACCTGCCTCAATGTATGCGGGTTTGGTGGCCTGTGGTTCTGTGCTGTTGCTCTGGCCCAGTGTGTTTGGAGCTCAGGGTCCACCAGGGCCAAACTTGCAGGAGTGGGAGCATGTGATGCCAGGGATTAAACTCTGGACCTTGAGCTCAGTGGCTGAGTGCTTTGTCACCTGTGCATTCTCCCCAGTTTTTGCATTCTGAATTTTGAGGTTGAATCTTCAGGCACCAAAGGCCTTTGTGAAATGTGTGTTACTACTGGGCAGACCTACCAAGGTGACAGGTCTTGTTTTATTTTCTCCCCTCTGTTGATTGTATTTTTATCAAGTCTGTGGTTACCAGAAGCTTTCTCATGTGTATCAAAAACAGATTTTTTTTTTAAGTTTTTGGGCCACACCAGATGGTTTTCAGGGCTTATTCATGGCTCTGTGCTTAGTTATCTCTTGCTGGGCTTGGGGGACCTTATGGGGTACCGGGCATCAACCCCAAGTTGCCTGTGTTCAAGGCAAGAGCAAGAGCCTTGCTACCCACTGTATCTCCCCAGCCCCAGGAACTGAGCTTTAATAAATGCATTCACAGTAAACCCCTTTCTCCCGCCCCTGGGGTGCTCTGGGGTTACACCCAGCTTGGTGCCTGGAGGCTGTTCTCCAGTAGTGACCATGAGGTACAAGGAATTCAGCCCAGGCTTTCTGTCCTTTGAGCCACCCCCTTGGCTTGCAGTTAGTACGATTTCATAACAGCTTTTCAGGCGATGGCTGGATTGAGGTGTTGTGGAACTTGGAACTCATGGCTGTCTCATCCAGGGGAATGGATGGGCATTCTCAGGGCTTGCCTGGGTCTTGCTTGTAGCGCTTTTAGTATAGCAGGTGCCCCCCCCCCCCCCCAAAAAAAAAAAGACTTCTTGAGCCCCAGTACAAACCTAAAATTTAAAAAGGAAATTTTAAGAAAGGGTTGTAACAGAATTGTACGAACTTTTTTTTTTTTTTCTTTTTGGGTCACACCTGGTGATGCACAGGGGTTACTCCTGACTCTGCACTTAGGAGTTACTCCTGGCGGTGCTTAGGGGACTATATGGGATGCTGGGAATCGAACCTGGGTCAGCCGCGTGCAAGGCAAATGCCCTACCTGCCGTGCTATCTCTCTAGCACCCAAACTCATTTCTTTTACTTACCACAAAATAATTTTTAACAAGTTGTCAAAAAATTGGGCCATACCAGTCCTCAGGCCTTACTCTGGGCTCTGCTCAGAGGTCACTGCTGACCAAATGCAGGGATCTCATAGGGTGCCGGGTAAGGCCAGCTTCGTACTCCTGTATTGTCTCTGCCCTGTACTGTCTCTCTTCCTTGGCCTTTCAAAATTTTTTTCTTCTAGCTTGAGTGAGAAAAACGCTTGTTTATTCAGTGCCCTCTCTGCCTCCTCTTCCTTCATCTTGCTGTGCTTGTCATGCGATGGTACATAGGCCTGCCTGGCTGTGCCCATGGGCTCACATACTGCTGTGCTCGACAGGGTCTTTGTCCCACGGGCTTGCCTAGCCGAGCATTCAGAAGACTCGGTAGCACTTGGTACATGCCATTCCAGGTGGCACCTCCCTGCCACAGTACAGGCGCTTCTTTTAGCTGGAGTGCTTACCAGGGGTCACGGCTCTGTGGTGCTTGCACGTAGTGGCTGCCAGTATCCTGTGTGGTGCATGTGGGACTCTGAGGATTGAACTTGTGAGCACACACTTTGTGCAAAGCAGGTGCTCCAACCCCTGTGCTTTTCCTCCAGGTCCAGGATGAGGTGGTTTTTGTTGCTGGTGTTGTTTGGTGGTTGGTTTTGCCTTTGACGCCCAGGCAGTGCTCAGGGGACTGGGGGCTGTGCCCATCTGTGACCACCTGACTCTTTGTGTCCCCTGATGCGGTTTTGGGGGCTTGCAGGATTGTACTGGGTATGCACATATAATGCTTAGGGTCGACTCAGACATGAGGGGGTGACCCTGGACAGTAGTAACTGGGCTGTGAGGTAGACGTGTGCTGCAGAGCCGTGGCTGTCACTGTCTCCACATGGGCAGCGCCTCTGCCCAGGAGGTCTATGTGGCCTGGGCTCTCTGGGGCAGGATTGCAGGCTTCACTGCAGGGTCTAGTCTGAGGCTTGTGTGGCTTTGAAGTTGGTTCCCTGGAGGCACTTGGATGCCCCTTCTCCTAAGGAGGTTTTGGGTTTTGGGGTTTGGCTTGGTTTTGGGGTTACACTCGGTGGTACTCTCTGCTTACTAATTGGTCTGGCTCAGGGATCACTCGTGGTGGACTCAGGGGACCTTATGGGGTGCCAGGGAACAAACCTGGGTCTGCTGCGTGCAGGGCAAGAACCCTTCCTGCTCTGCGATTGCTCTGTCCTTGTAGGAGTTTCTTTCCCTCACTTTTCCCTTATCTCTTGAAGGCCATCTCCTCTATGAAAGCTCTGAAAGTGGCAGGCAGCCACTTAAAGAATTTCTACTTTGTGTTTCTTCTTCTTCTTTTTTTTTGCTTTTGGACTACAGCTGGCCATGCCCAGGGGTTACTCTTGGCTCTGCACTTAGGAATTACTCCTCATGGGACTTGGGGTACTACATGGGATGTGGGGAACCCAGGTCAGCTGCATTTAAAGCAAATGCCCTCCCCGCTGTTCTGTCACTCTGGTCCATCCTGTTTCTTCTGATTTTCACTCGTACTGTATTGAGTCATCCTTCTGGAGGACTCTGTATTTTAGAGACTTCTAGCAGATCTTTACAGGGTGGGCCCTACCCTGAGGTGCTGTTCTGACTGGCTGTAGTCTGTGTCCAGGTGCCCAGAAGCTGGCTTCTTCCCCCAGAGGGCAAGGGGGCTCAGCGGTGCCCTGGTGACCTTTTGGCTCTCCTTGCAGGGACATGGGGTCCAGTTAGAGTCTCTCAGAATTCACCAGAAGATGCCAGGACAAAATGGGTGCAGCTGTGCCCTTGGTATCATACCTCCCTCAGGAAAAGCTGTTTCAGTTCATTATTACATACACCTGGGGCCATTTTTTCTGTTTCTATCTGGACAATTTGCTCTTGTGCTTAATCAAAACTGCTTCATGTTCTGGAGGGAGGTGGGTGGCAGAGGACCTTTTCCCGGCTTCTCTGAGAATCAGGGCAGTGGTGCCCACTGTGCATCAGATGAAATGACCAATGGAAGTACTGGTGGTCCCTGTACAAGCGAAGGCGATTGGGCTCTCAGTGTATCTGATGCCGCTTCTGATTTTGATGAGTATTTGCAGGACTTGCAGCTGGGAGGTGCTCATTAAAAACCAAAGTCTTCTTTTTTCCTTTTCCAGGCCTGCCCCATCTCTGCCAGCAAGTCTCTGAATAAGCCAGAAATCTCTGAATGTTGCTGTGAATGAAAGGCCCAATTAACTCAGATGTGTAGGTCACTGTGGAAGATTTTGATCCCTGCTGCCCTGAGAGGCTTTAGAAGATTCTGAGCGCTGGTCAGATCAGTGAAGAGGTAGGACTTGCCTGCCCCCAGCAGAAGCCCAGGGCTGTGACTTGGGATGGAGGCAGGATTCTTGGCATATTTGAGGGGTGCGAGGCGGAGGCCACAGTGGCTAGAACACATGTGGCGACTGTCACTAGGATGAACTCCTCCCTTTCTGTGTTGCTGCGTGTGGTGAGTGGGCATCGGTGTCCCGTGTGCCCTCCCGCCACCTCACCTTCTGTTCTCTGGCTTTCCTTGTGCCTGTGTGTGTGGAGACCCCGGGCTCGGGAGGTTAGCCGCTCATTGCTTCTCCAGCACACGCCGCTCAGCAGCTGGCCCTGGGTTGGAGGGACTGGGTGGGGAGAAGGGTCCCAGCCTAGGAATGTCCATTTTTAAATTGGCCCTTAGGTCCTCCTCTCTAACAGGAAACATAGTCCTTGCCTGGTGGGGGTTTATAATTTTTAAGTGAGACAACCTGGCGAGTGGTTGCCCGGGCTCCTTACCCAGCCTGAGGGGGCCCAGCAGGAACCTGCAGACTGCAGTAGGGGGTGGAGTGGAGGATGGGGTCTGTGTGCTCCAGACCCCAGCCAGGTTGTGCTCTGCCCCTGGCAGTCCTTGGGATCTTCTCAGCCCCATGCTTCCTTGTTCACAGCTGACTGTTAACTTAGATCGCCACCTCCCCTTCCCTACTCAGTTTCTTCAGTGCTGATGACTATGCTGAGGCTTCTTTCTGGGCGAATGTCTAGGCGGCCCCAGCCCTATGCTGAGTTGGTGGTTCTGTTTTTGCATCCAGAGCTGCTCAGTGTTCACCTTTGTCTCCTGCCAAGACTTTTCACCGATTTCATTAGTTAATTCAAACATCCATCCTTGTTCCTATTGAGGTGCCCCAGTCTGCAGTATTAATGACAGTGTCAGGAATCATCCCATCCTACACCCACCAGCACCCGAGTGGCCTCTCCCTCCACCAGTGTGCAAGGCCTTTCCCCAGTTCAGCTCTACGGCCGACTCTCCTCTCTTCTCTGTCTGTGTCGGGCCGAGTGCTAGCTACTCGTAGTGCTCTGTGAACAGAAGTGATGGGGCCCCCAAATTCACAGACTTGAGCCTGCTGTTGAAGAGGCAGACCTCACTCTGACTTGGTAAATGTTTCTTCTGGGAGAGAGAAGTGTGGATACATTATTTGTGCTGGGTGAATCCTTTAAGGTGTAACCCTTTCAGAAATAAGGGAATTGGATAAGAACAATGTGGGGGTGGAGGTACAGGAGATAAATCCACAGAACCAGATTATTTTTATTTCTTTAATAGGAGCTACTTCCAGTGGTTCTGGGGGATCCTGGGGCTCCTTCTGGCAATGGTACTGGCAATGGAACCTGATGGCACTTGGCTACTGGCGCTCAGGCCCTGCAGAGCTCGAGACTTAACTTAGTACGTGCTAGGCCACGTATGTACGCCTCCGTTTGAGCTCTTTCCCCCAGGCCCAGAACCAGATTATTATTATTGTCTATAGGGCGTGTGATGTTGAGCTATAGCTGTAGTGCTCACGGTCTCTTCCTGGGATCTGTGCTCAGGTGTTTGGTGGTTTTCTTTTCTTCTTCTTTAGAAAAAAATTTTAAAATAGAAAAGGTGTTTTTGTTTTTGGTTCACACCCGATGGTGCTCCTCAGGGTTTGCTCCTGGCTCTGTGCTCAGGAATCACTCTTGGCTGGCTCAGGGACAATATGAGATAATGGGGATTGAACCTAGGTCAGCCATTTGTAAGGCAGATGCCCTACCCGCTGTACCCTCTCTCCAGTTCAGTTCTTGTAGTTTCGCAAGGAAGATGGAATCTCGTCTTCCTATGGAGGTCGGGGTAGTCTGTTCATCACCTCCTGACACCTCCGTTCCTGCCAGTGACAGAAATGTCTCACTGTTGCTTGCTTTTGGCCCTGGGAATGGTGGCACAGTCAGTATTTTCTTTCTTTCTCTAGGTCATGGCTTCCAGCTCCTCGGATTTGAGCCTCCAGAGGAGGAAATGACCGTCAGGGCACTTGCTCCGGATCTGTTTCAAAGACTAAACTTTGCGGGGCTCAGACTTGCCCAGGACAGAAAAGTGTCTTTTTCTGAAGGGCTTTACACTGATCTGTAACTAAGAGAGGAAAAATGACGACTTCATCCATTAGACGGCAGATGAAAAACATTGTGAACAATTACTCAGAAGCAGAAATCAAAGTCCGGGAAGCCACCTCCAATGACCCCTGGGGCCCCTCCAGCAGTCTGATGACTGAGATCGCAGACCTTACCTACAACGTGGTAGCCTTTTCCGAGATCATGAGCATGGTATGGAAGCGGCTCAACGACCACGGCAAGAACTGGCGGCACGTGTACAAGGCACTGACGCTGCTGGACTACCTCATCAAGACCGGCTCCGAGCGGGTGGCCCAGCAGTGCCGCGAGAACATCTTCGCCATCCAGACCCTGAAGGACTTCCAGTACATCGACCGTGACGGCAAGGACCAGGGCATCAACGTGCGTGAGAAGTCAAAGCAGCTGGTGGCCCTACTCAAGGACGAGGAGCGGCTGAAGGCTGAGCGGGCCCAGGCTCTCAAAACCAAGGAGCGCATGGCCCAGGTGGCCACAGGCATGGGCAGCAACCAGATCACCTTTGGCCGAGGCTCCAGCCAGCCCAACCTTTCCACCAGCTACTCGGAGCAGGAGTACGGCAAGGCTGGGGGGTCGCCCGCCTCCTACCATGGCTGTAAGTAGCGGAAATGCTCCCTGTGCCCTTTGAGGGCGCTGGCTGTGGCAGTTCGGGGAGTGCCCGGGTGCTGGGGGAGGGCTTGCCTCTATCCTCCGTTCTCAGTTTCCCGTGGCCCATGCCACACGTGCTTTGGTCTGCACTGAGTTTGATTCCACAGTGAACTTGGGGCCCTCGGGTGCCGACTCTCGATCTAGAGACCAGCTCTGTGTCCTGAGCTGCCCGCCTGTGCAGGGATGCATGGAAGGAAGCTGACACAGCAGGCAGGCGGGGCTTGCCTGTCACCGCCTCGGGTCAGCCTGCTGTTCAGTCTGGGGAAGGGAGGGCAGGGGATGACATTTGGAGGAACAAATGCTCTTTCCTTATAATCCTGTCCCTTCTTCTAGTGTTAAGTGTCTAATGACTGGGCTGCAGGTCTCCTGACTGGCTCAGTGTTTGCTGCTGCTTCTGCGGCGCCAAAGGTCAGAGATGGGGTGTTGGTGTCCTCTCAAACGAGGGAGCAGGCACAGACCCCTGCAGGTGCCCGCGGGACAAGCCTCCCTCCAGGAACGTGGGGGAGCATGTGCGGAGATGTGGCTGCATGGCTGGATCTGCTGGGTGGGGCCTCTCTGGTCTCTGGTTTTACATGTCACATTATTCTGGTCTTTTGCCCAGTGTTCAGGAGAGATGCTAGCGACAGAGTGGGCTCAGAATCATATGGAAGCTGGTCCTCTAAACCATACTCGCTGGAGGTGGCCCCGAGTGTGTCCCTTCTGCCATGGCTCACAGAGCTAATGTGGTGCCGTGGCAGCCTGTGGGCGTGGGGTGGGCATGCAGCACTGCATGTTTGGGCTCTGGAAACGTGACACAAGTTCTTGCACCCAGGCTTTCTTTTTTCCTTGTTGCAATCGGTGATACTTTGTCAGCATTGCTAAACTTTTTCTCTTCCTCCCCCCTCATTTTTTTTTGGGGGGCACACCCAGAGGTGCTCAGGGGCTGCTCAGGTTGGGAATTGGGACCCCCTTCAGGCAGTGCTCAGGTCATCTTGTTCTGGGGCAAAGCCTGGACCTCCTACCTGCAAGGACATAATTAACCCATTGAGCTATTTCTCTGGCACCAGATTTTTTTTTTTAAGAAAATTGTTATTTGCTTAGTCAGTGGTATTATCATTTACTTATTATTTCTTAGTTATTTCCACTACCAGATCACCTCCTAATAATTCCTGCTTTTGCAGGTTTTAACTGGTACTAAGCAGCATTGTAAGAAATATGTCAAGTGTATCAAATAGGAGATTTCATATTAAAATCACACTCACCACCTTGAGGAATTATTAGGGATTATTGTTATCTAGTTTGAAGCAGGTTAGCATTTTCTTGTCCCCTTACTGGCTGTTGCCATTCCAACCCCCTTAGTTTGAATTGCTCTGTTGTGACTTTTGTGAAACCACTTCAGGGAGAAAAAAAGAGTGGGAGGGGCTGGGGTGATAGTACAGTGGAAGGCGCTTGCCTGGCGTGCAGCTACCCAAGTAGCCCACGTGTTCCCTCCGCCCCAGCTCTTTAGGAGTGGTCCCTGAGCTGAAGGAAGTCACCAGAACTGCTGGTGTGGCCCACAAAACAAAAAAGGTGGGGGTATCGTGAGGTGGGTGATGTGGGGTTTCCAGAAATTTCTCCCTGGGCTCAGTTATGCCAGAAAGTGAAGATGCCCTTTAAGAAGTAGAGTTGTGTGTTTCTCAAGGCACCCAGACACCCTTCCTGTGGCTGAGTTGGTCTCAGCTGCCATGGCTTCCTTTTTGGCAAGTGGCCGTGGCCATGTGAAGGCCCTGTGTGTGAGAGCCGCTCTGCCCAGCACACCTTTGTGGTCAGTATTCTCGGGGCTGGGGAGTCCTCACAAGTAGATGCGGTTTTGGTGCATTTCATCAGAACTTTGTACAGAGTTCGGGGCGGGGGGGTGACGGCGATGAGGTGGTGGGGATGCCCGGGCCGGCCTGAACTGGCCTCTCAGCACAGGTTCGTTGTGCCCCAGGGGGTCGGCTGCTGCCACCGGGCTCCCTGCTTCTGATCCCTGGTCCACAGGCTGTGCCCTGGGCGCCAGCTGCCAGCCGGGCCTGTGCCTCTGCTCCCTCCCTCTAATGGCCTGTCTCTCTCTGTGTGTGTGTGTCCCTGCCCACAGCACCCGAGACCTCGCTGTGCCCTCAGCACCGCACAGGGGCCCCGCTGGGTCCGAGCGAGGAGCTTCCGCCACTGAACCAGCGCCACCCTTTCCTGCCGCACCTGGGGCTGGCCTCCCGCCCAAATGGTGACTGGTCCCAGCCTTGCCTCACTTGTGACCGCGCAGCCCGAGGTGGGACGGCGGTTTGCTTTTTCTCCTTCCTAGAATGCCGGGCGCTTGCTGCGGGTGAACTGGTGTCAGTACAGCCAACTCTCTCCCTGCCTCCTTTGATGCCTCTTGGTCCAGCTGCCAGCGGACCAAGGGCCCTGTCTTCTCTCTCCCGTCGTAACCTGCCCTACTGTCTGGGCACAGCGTGGGGTGCTTCTCTCTCTCCTCCTGTGGTGCTCCCGGCTTCTTGGCTTATTGAGTCAGAAACCGGAGCGGGGGTGGGAGCTTGACTCTGACAGAGCCAGGTGAACCCCAGGCCTCCATTGACAGCTGTTGGAAGCTGCTGCCCTTGATGCGATGATACTGGCCTGCTGAGGACAGACTGGGATTGTTCCTGCTTCTCAGCCAACCACCACCCCTTCTGAAAGCCCCATTACCGTAGTAAACAGAGAGTTAGCTGTACTGTCGATTCTAGGTCAGTGTTTGACGATACCGAATTCACTGGGTAACTGAAAATGGGGCTTTTCTTTCGACTGATTCATAATGTATCTTGTTCGGGGCCTGCAACGATTAAAGGCGAAATGGGAAGCAGATTTTTCACTGACACCTACTAGCACTGCCTTTCGTGCCCGCACTGGTTCTCCCAGGCAGGGCCCTGCTCTGTCCCAGGGAGCTGCTGGGACTCTCGGGCCCCAGTGCGACCAGTGCTCGTTCGTGCCTCATCACATTCCCCTGCAACCCACGAGACCACTCCTGTCCGACGTGGGGAATCGTGTGCCCACAGTGTTTGTCTCTGCGGTGCTTTCCATTGGGCCACCAGGTTCTCTTGACACTGTTGATGGGATTTTGTGAGGAACCAGCTCTGTACCCTAGAGAATAGGGAAGGTCAGAGTGTTTTAAAGGCTCAATCAAAGGTGCTTGTGTTAGACTCCAATTTCTCCCCTCATACTCAGGTTGTTTCTGGGAGAGTCCCATGTTTCTCAGAACCTGTCTTGTTTTTTTTGTTTGCTTTTATTTATTTTTTTTTTTGAGTATTCGATATGCCAGACACAGTAACAACAAAGTCTCCAATGGAGACGTTACTGGGCCCGCTCGAGCAAATCGACGATCAACGGGAGGGCCTTTACCTTTACCTTTTTTATTTATTTTTCTTTACTATTATTGGGCTGGAGCCATAGCACAGCGGGTGGGGTGTTTGCCTTGCGCGTGGCCGACCCAGGTTCGATTTCTCCACCCCTCTCGGAGAGCCTGGCAAGCTACTGAGAGTATATGCCAACAAGTCTCACAATTTGTTGTGAGATGTTATTGGTGCCTGCTCGAGCAGATCAATGAACAATGGGAGGACAGTGCTACAGTGCTACTATTATTATTTATTTTTGCTTTTTGGGTCACACCCGGCGATGCACGGGGGTTACTCCTGGCTCTGCACTTAGGAATTACTCCTGGCAGTGCTCGGGGGACCCTATGGGATGCTGGGAATCGAACCCGGGTCAGCCGTGTGCAAGGCGAACTCCTTACTTGCTGTGCTATCACTCCAGCCCCTTTGTTTGCTTTTATTTGGGGGTCATACCCAGGAATATTCAGGGACTGTTTGTGACTCTACTCGGGTCACGACTGGTGGGGCCCGGGGGAGCATGTGTGGTGCTGGGGGCCGAACCTGGGTCAGCTGCATGTAAAGCAACTGCCTTAACCCCCGTAATCTCCAGACACCCGAGAACCCCCCCTTCGGTGTCCTAGGTTGCGTGTGTGCAAAGTTGGAAGGTCTGTTTTGTTTTTATTTTTATTTTTTATGTTTGAAAGGTCTGTTTTAAATATCAGTGGTTCTTTTTCTGAGGCGTGTTCTCTGCCCCCGGCTCTTCTGGGAGGTGTCTTTCCAGTTAAAGTCAGGCCCCTCCACAGCGAAGACAGTTACCTGCTCTCCTGCGACCTGCTGTGGGTGCCTGCCCTGCACACCTGCCTCTGATGAGTAACTCGGGGTATCAGGGTCATGTGGGGCGTCTGATGCTCTTCAAGTCTGGGAGGAGCTAGGGATAAGAATGATTTGTTTTGACACTTTTCTTGCGCCCCACGTGAGGACTGGGCAGTGTCACATGCTGTCACGTTTTGTCCATTTTGTGTGCCACGTTCTCTCTCCCTGCCCTACACCTTCCCCATCACCGGGCACTGTTGGGAAGCAGGAACAGAACCTGTCCCTCTCACTTCTGTTTGTTTCTGTCTCGAGTGTTGAGCAGAAGGTAAGTGCTTGCTCCATGCAGGCTGGAATCCAATAGCAACCATCAGAAAACAGCCGTGCAGGCCATAGACAGTGTTCAGGGTCAGTGCTGGTATGCACTCACATGGGGACCGAGCACAGGCCTGCCGTCTGGGCTGGGTGGGCTGCAGAGGCTCACTGATGAGGGCTGCGTCTTGTGCAAGAAGGCCTCAGGAGGAGCGCGTCAGCCTCTTCTCACCAGCACTGAGGGGGCCAGGTGTTGAGGGCTGTTGTCAGGCCCCACCACCTGCTCTCTCCCTCACCTCCATCTGCACCACTGCGTAGCTCAGGACTCTCGTTTTCTTGTCTCTGGTTCCCTGGGCTTAGCTCGGTGCCTAGGCACTGCCCGGCTTCGTGTCCTTTCTTTTGGCCGTGCGCTTTCCGCACACCCGCTCACCTGCTCACCTTTATTTACTTATTTTGTTTTGGGGCCGCCCCGGCAATGCTCAGGGGTTACTCTTGGCTCTGCATCTAGGAATTACTCCTGGTGGTGCTTGGGGGGGGGGGGGGGGGAGGTATATGGGATGCTGGGGATTGAACTGGGTCATCCGTGTGCAAAGCAAATACCCTATCTGCTGCTGTACCATTTCTCCAGCCCTGAGATTGTATAAATAAAAATAAGAGCTAAAGTCTCAAAGGTCTAAATGTAGATTTTCATATGGGGAAAAAGACTAACTCATATTCATTGTAGTTCGCGGTTTTTGTTTTGTTTTGTTTTGTTTTTTGCTTTTTTGGGTCATGCCCGGCGATGCTCAGGGGTTACTCCTGGCTCTGTGCTCAGGAATTACTCCTGGCGGTGCTCAGGGGACCATATGGGATGCTGGGAATCGAACCCAGGTCAGCGTGTGCAAGGCAAATGCCCTACCCGCTGTGCTATCGCTCCCGCTCCTCGCGTTATTTTTTATTAATGATCTGTATTGAAATCTTTACTATTTGAATCACTGTTTTCTGTCTTGTGTGCTCAGACATGCCAGGTCGGGAGCCAGGGAGGGGCTCAGTAAACCCAAGTGTAGATCAACCTCAGCTCTTTTTCCTTCTGGTAACATTTTTATGGGATGTCCACATCTCTGTAGGGGTTTGCTTCAAACGTGAGCATTAGGTTTTTTGTTTTTGTGTTTTGTTACACTTGGTGCTGCTGAGGGATCCCACTGGAGGGGCTTAGGGGCCATATGGGTGCCGGGGGTTAAAACGCGGCCGGCTGTGTGCAAGGCAAGTGCCCTACCCACTGTTCTGTCTCTCCAGCTCCAAGTGTTCGTCATTTGGAAGTACTTCTTGTAGGACTTTACAGAAATAGAAATGTTTTGCATATTTGTATAGTTTGTGTATTTGTTTGTATATTTGCATAGTTTCTTTAAAAATATTTTTATTAGTGAAATACCATGAGGTACGGTTGTAGACTTACAAATTTTTGTGCTTGGGTTTCGATTATACAATGATCAAATACCCATCCCTCCACCAGTGCCCATTTTCCACCACCATGGATCCCAGTATCCCTCCCACTCCCATCCCCCCTATCCCACTCTGCCTCTGTGGCAGGGCATTCCCTTTTGTTTTCTCTCTCCTTTTGGGTGCTGTGGTTTGCAAAGGAGGCATTGAGTGTCAATCATGTTCGGTCCATAGTCTACTTTCAACATGCATCTCCCATCCTGGGAGGATCCTCCAAACACCCTTTATTTGGTGTTCCCTTCTCTATCTGAGCTGCCCTTTCCCCTAAAATGCCCGGCTGCCCTCTAAGCCATGGAGTAATCCTCCTGATACTGATCTTGGCTATTCTTGGGTATTAATCTCCTATTTTGTTACTTTATGTTCCCCAGATGAATGCGATCTTTTTATGTCTCTCCCTCTCTTTCTGACTCATTTCGCTTAGCATGATACTTTCCATGTAGTACCACTTGTATGTAAATTTCATGACTTCATCTTTTCTAACAGCTACATAGTCCTCCATCGTGTAGATGTACCAAAGTTTCTTTAACCAGTCATCTGTTCTCCGGCACTCAGGTTTTTTCCAGATTCTGGCTATTGTAAAGAGTGCTGCAATGAACAAACAAGTGCAGATGTCACTTCGACTATACTTTTTTGCCTCTGTGGGATATATTCCCAGGAGTGGTATTGCTGGGTCAAATGGCAGCTCAATTTCTAAATTTTTTAGAATCGTCCACACTGTTTTCCAAAAGGGAGAACATTTGCATAGTTTCTTGATGCTTAATATTGATTTTAGCCACATGATTTAGTTGCTAGTTTTTATTAGTAATAAAATTTTAACTAAGCCATTGTAGCTGGCCGGCTGGGAAGCCAGATTTTTAAATTATATCTATCTATCTGTATCTATATCTATATCTATATCTATATCTATATCTATATATCTATATCTATATATATTGTTCAGTGGGATGCTGCGCCATACTGATGGTGGTCAGGGCTTACTCCTGGTTCTGTGCTCATGGGTTATTCCTGGGAAGTGCTGGGGATTGAACTTGGTCAGCTGCATGTAAGGCAAATGTGGTGCCTGCTGTGTTCTCTCTGCCTGCGTGTGAATCTGGGATACATGTCTGACCTAGCTGGTGGGCTGAGCCAGACCATGCTTGCTTGCTGGACATGGTGTCCCGTTCTCTTCAGCGGGAGGCTGGGGCAGTGCCCTTTCAGAGTCACGGCCACAGACCTCACACCTACCTTCAGCAGCTAGAAACTGGGGTTGTGATGGGATCTGTCTCCTCATGAGGAGTTTCATCCAGTTCACTCATTGTCCCTCCACTCCCTTTCTCTGCTTCTGACT